TCCAATACTTTGATTCATATCAATGCAAATGCATTTGCAATATATAAGCGAAGTTTTAATTATCTTTATATTCATTTAGAATATACAGATTTGAACGAGGTCAGTTTTGACCAGCGTTCACTAGTGGATATACACCGACCAACAGGAATTATATTTCAAAATGATAATTGCCAATTTCGGTATTTGCCCCAACACATTTTTCAACCATTTTTAAATGAAAATTCAAAAAACTATTTATATTTTACGTGTGAAACAAAGAATGAGTTTGATTGTGACGATTGTAGATCTTATTGGATGAAAGAGCACAATGTATTTGGAAATATTTATGGCCTAAAATGTTCTGATGGTAACAAATTAAATCACGTTGGTTTTTCTGATCTTTGTTCACCGAGTATTTAGAGATTGTATTAAATAATCTTATTTTAATAAAAAGTATTCAATAAAATTATTCATTTGAGATGTTTTAAAAATAAAATTGTATTTACTACTTTTGGTCTGGTTACAGTTTTAATTATTCATTATAAATTATTACAGTTTACGACATAATCTCTCATTTTAAATTACTAGAATTACTAATACAAATGTAAAAATATTTTAAAACATAACATATTTAATATTTTAAGACTTTTAACATAAAACATTAAGTTTAGGTCGTCCCAAAAGATAATATATGTGTTATATTTAATATATTAAATTGTTATTTTATAATACTGATACAGTTTGTAATGTAAATTCTATTTAGTCTCGCTAATTAATAAAATTTATATACTATTTGATTGTACATTTTTGATAAGTAATACAGAATTGATACATTTCAAAACATATAGCATATTTTATTTGTTAAGAAACTTTTAATTTATCTAAATATTATTAAAATTGCAAACTGTAACATTATTTTTATTTAAAACTACAAATCTATTAAATTTTGAACATTAATTTTAAATTGGTTTCTATTATATAACGTTAAAACATATTTTTTAAAATAAAAATTATATTAGACATTAGTTGTAAAATATCACTCATAATCTAATATGTCACATGATAAACAACGTGTTACTTTTCGCGGAACTCAATACCAATTATAACACGTTTGGGAAAAGTCAACCGATATTTGCGGCGATACTGTAGGGGAACATCAGTTTCGGGCAAACGATATAACTTATACCGAGTAATAATATGAGCTAGGCTTAATTTAATTTCCAACAACGCAAATCGCATGCCTATGCAATGTCGGGGCCCGGAGCCAAACGGCGCGTACGTATAGGGTTTAATTTTACCACGATTGGCCGGCGAGAAACGATCCGGATCGTATCGGTATGGATCTGGGTAGTTCTCGGGACTATGATGTATGGCATAGGTAGGTATGTCCACCTGTTGGCCCTTACGTATGGTAATACCGGTGTCGCCGAGCTTATAGTCTTGAGTGGCCAGTCGTGTGGCCCGTATGCCGGGCGGGTGTAAGCGCAGGGTTTCTGACACGACTTGATCTAGGTAGGTTAATGATTGGAGTTTGTCATAGTCAATTTCACCATCAGCATTCATGGCCGCCTTGAGCTCGGCGTACAGTCGCTCCTGTAATCTAAGCTGTAGCGCGAGCTCATACATGGCAATGGTTAGGGTCGTGGCGGTGGTCTCGTAGGCGGACATTAGTATAACGAATGTGTTGGCCCGCACCTCGTCGTCCGACATTTGTTTAGGCGGTACGGCTGGGGTCGAGGCCGCGAGTTTGGGGCTACCGGTGCCCGATTCGTCGTTGATAGCGGTTTCATCTAGATAATTTAAATAAACAAAACTTTAGCATTATATTTTACTTGATTACATTTTACAATAATTATCCGTGTGCTACCATTCGTCTATATTTATAACATTATAACCTAATAAATTATTATTTAAAAATAAGCACTAAAACCCATAGGGCCACTTTAGTGCCACTTTTGTATAGTGAGTTTATACTTTAGTTATATCATGACTAATGTTATTAAATATGAATCTGCCTATAAAGCGTTATATTTATAACACATACAGTATTGACTATTTACTATTTCATTACATCATGGCGAGCCCTGAAAATAAGTAATAATATTTTTAAAATAATAATAAAATGTTAAATTGTTATATGAGTATTTCTCTCGAATACAATTCTTAATAATTGAAAATAATGTTAAAACTCATTCATAGTATTTGATAGCATTTGTCATAAAAATCACAAAAATGAATGTTTTTCAATGCTTTGAAATACATTTTTCAATGCTTAAGTTTAATGTCATAAATGAGTTTTAACATTATTTTCAATTATTAAGAATTGTCTTCTAGAGAAATAATCATATGCTGTAAAATATGTATTTTGTAATGAATTATCATTCATATCGATCTTTTCCAAAAATTTTATAAATAAAATATTTTAAAATGGTAACTAATTTAATATAAATTATTCTGACAGTTTGTGGTATAAAATTACGCTCTCTCTCTCTCTCTCTCTCTCTCTCTAAAAAATTTTAAAAATGTAAAAATTTAAATAAAATCATGCTAATAATGAGCACATTTATACCCGTATTGACATAATTGGCTTCAGTGGTGTTGTAGTCGTCACGTGCGGCCACTCTATCATTGCGTGCGTCCATTAATAGCTGCAAAAAGTCCGAGTATTTGGCGCTCGAGTCCGGCATCTCTTTACGCGTTGTTATTATTTTACTCATTAAATCATTGAAATATTGTAGCCCTTCTGGTTTGACAGTAGTGGTCATCTAGGTTGGAATAATAATTTTACACAAATAAATTAAGGTATTTTGTAATTAACCATGTAATTTAGTGCTACACAAGGGGTATTTTGTTAGTGAACTATAATAACATTAATGATAAAACAGGCTGTACAAACTGTAAACAATAATAAAATTAAATGCACAATTTATTTATTGTTACTAAAAACAATTACGAATGGAATGGCAGAGATTGGTTGATAAATTAGACATAATTCATATTGAAATAAAAACTTCTTAAATGTAACATTAAATTTTTTAACAAAATTTATAAATTATAATGAGCTTGTTAATAAGTAAATTTTAAAAAATAATGTTAATTAATTAATTATAATAAATAAAGTATATAAATATAATTAACAAAACCTAGTTCAAACAAACAAAAACAACTTGCCGACAAGAATTGAAGCCATTTGGGTGGAAGTGCCAGCATTGCGATAATTTTCCATGGGTTAAAATCTAGTAAACTCTTTGCATACTTATCGACCGGATTATTGGGGTCGTTGTGAATATTGGTCTTGGTGGCAAAGGCACAAGTTGCTACGACGTCCATGGTGAAATTGCCAAACATCTCTTTGGCATTCATAGGCCGGCCATCCCTGGCGTATGCGTCCAGATGTGCGGTAAAGTCGCGCAAACACTCCCTAATGGATGGATACATACGTTTCATACGCCCTGAGCTGAACGCAGGGCTGATTATCTGTCGCAACCGTTTCCAGTCGTCGCCCGACGCCTGAGCGACGTTACGGTTGAGCACCGGGTCTATCAGGAGCTCAAAGTTACGGTCGGTGAACGAGTTAAAGTCGCGGATCATTATGTTTTTTAACAGCTCCGGCTCCGCAAATGTGAGCACCGGCCGATGGCCCGCATAGTATCTGGTTAAATAATTGCAAAATTATTTATAATATTTATAATTTTAATTAACAACGAATTGACAACCCCAAAATTAGTTATTATCCAAATGTATTCTATTTAATTAATTTATATTTCATGACTAAGTTACAGTTTGTGTGTGATAAATTAAGTTTTAAATTTCTATTAAATTATTAATTTGAATTTTTACAAATTAATTTTATTAAATAATTTTTATTGCATAATATGATTAGATTATTTTACTGTTAATGTGAAGGATTGTATTATAATAGATAGAGATATATTACATTCCTATAACCCACATTGTTTATAAATAAATAGAAGATGAAAATAAAGTTACATTTTAAATCATTGTAATGTAAATATCTTGATAATTCCAGTTGGAGTTTACATATAGCCAAACGATAATATTTGTGTTATATTTAATATATTAAATTGTTAGTAGAAAATACTGATACAGTTTTTAATGTAAGTTCTCTTTTTCATTACACTCTCTAACTTATAACTTATAAGTTATAAGTTATTTCAAATAATATTGTTTGATTAGTTTATTTTACTGTTAATTTTTACTAATAGATAAAATTACAATAATGCTATTCACTATAATGTTATGAACAAAGTTAGGTTGAATTCAAATAATTAAATTACATTATTTATTTGAGATGTTTTTAAAATAAAACCTTATATTTGTAGGTGCTTGTCTGGTAGGCCACAATTTTTATTATTTGCCTTGTTACAAAATAAAATTGATAAAATGTTTACGGTGAATCATTTGTGTAAATTATGTATTCACAAAAATTGTTTTTTAAAATTTTATTATTATTGCTGTAAACAGTTTACGATATAATCTCTCTCTCTCTCTCTCTCTCTCTCTCTTCCACTAGTGAACGCTGGTCAAAACTGACCTCGTTCAAATCTGTATATTCTAAATGAATATAAAGATAATTAAAACTTCGCTTATATATTGCAAATGCATTTGCATTGATATGAATCAAAGTATTGGATCGCAGGTAAAGTTTCTGTAAACCGGATAATCCGCTGAACGCGTGACTCCCTATAGACTGTTCGCCCGATTCTATGTATAACTCTTTGAGTCTTGGTTGATTGCCAAATGCATTCTCGGGCACCATGGTCACTTTTGTGTTGTTTATTTGTTTAACAATTATCACATTGGTAAATTTTCTTATCAAATCATAAATATCATGTTGGTCTAACAACGGGTTAGATCTGATTATTAACTCTTTAGTCAACGCATATGACTTAGCAAATGCATGGGCATGTATTCTGACCAAGTTTGTTTGACTAATGTCAATCTTGGCAAATGTAATATTTCCAAAAGTATCATGCTCAATTTCAGTCACATTTGTGTTAGAAAATTCAAATAAAATAAAATTCTTTTCTTTAGGTTTTAACGCTTTGTTTAATTTGTCAAATATATTGACCAAATCTATGTTCTCATCGCCAGAACACGTGATGAATCTATCTTCACATCCATAACATGGTAAGATTTCGCTCGCATCCGGACATTTGCCTAGTATAAGTTGGCAATTGGCAAATAATAAAACAAAACAACTTGATACTAGAACAAAATTAATATGTGTGTTATTATACATTTAGAATTTATATTTGCAACTGAACATTAAAATTAAATAATTAACAAGATTTTATTATCACTTACTAATCAACACATTCATTGTAGAATTGTTTAATTATTAAATATATTAATTCTTTAACTAACAACACTTAATTAAAGTTTTGATTTACTGCACTTATAAAGCACTTATAAAACACTTTGCATTTTTATAGTGTATTATACACAATATTTAACATAATATTTCACTTAAAGCAATAATAATTATCATTGCAATCATATTATTTTACATAAAACACAATTGTAAATATTTAGTTAGTAATTGAAAAGTTAGTAACGTTATCTCTATTCCCGTACCAAACTTGCAACAAGGGGCAGATACTATTTATACTGGTTATACATACGTTACATGGTGCGGTTCACACTTGTTTACTTTACAATTTAAAAAACTTAAATCTACATGATATAATACTTGCAGTATACAGGTAAATTAAAACCAACTTTACATTTTCACAGTATAAATATAATATTTATATATTTTAAATGATGCTGCATTAAATTTAAGGCTATAAGTTATACATAATTTCATATGCCTTTAATAATGACATCTAAAAAATCAAATGTTTACTGTAGTTTGAAATTAATCTCACTTAATTTTCATATTATTACTTCTTTAATCTAGATTCTAAGAAGTTTTACTTAAGTTTTTTTGCATTTATTGAGCATTACTAACGAAATATTATGTAAGAAATATTAAGATTCTTTACGTTATTACATTTAGTTATTACCAAATAAAACTAGTTTTATAATATACTAAATAAGGATACCTCATAACTGGTAACAACTAATTTTGTTTTTGTATTTTTAATTAATTTTATTCATTAATTACAAATAAATAAACTTATAAATACAAAATTATATGATATTATTATGTAACTTTTAATGTATTTACTAATTTAGCAAAAAGCATATGAATTAATCTAGGCAACACTAGTATTATTTGATTCAAATATAAAAAGTTTATTCAAATATTAAAATAATTTTTAACAAATTTATGTTTAATCAATTTATTTCAGCAAAAAGCAAAATTATCAGTTAAACCAATTACTTGTTTATATTTTATTATTTTTATTCGCAAAACAAATTTTTAAAATAATTTTACTATAAGGAACACAATTTTCAATAAATTTAAGTTCTAATCATTTTAGTTCAACAAAGAGCAAAATTACCAGTGTCATTTAACTGTTTATTATTATTACACATTAAGTACCGAATTTTTCTAAATAAATTATTTTGTTTTATCCAATAAGATCTGCAATCTTGACAATCAAACTTGGTGTATGTCTTAGCATAAAAATTTACAGAATTTTTATCATTTTCTTTAAGAAACGGTAGAAATATGTGCTGGGGCAAATAACGAAAGTCACAGTCTCCTTCATCCTTACTAATATCAATTACTGTAGGTCTGTTCATTCCTATTAATGCACCTGTATCAAAACTGTCTTCGTTTAAATAATTATGTTGATTATTTAAATAAATAAAAATAATGAAATATCGTACCGCGAGAATAAAACTTATAAATTTAGGCCAGATTTATCTAATGGCTTGAACGAGAACGACATTATTACCATTGTGAATTTTCCCACAATGGTGCGTAATCAATTATTGGTTAAGCTTAGTTATTTGTAAATAAGAATCACACACAATTCGAGTGATTCCTAAATGATAAATTAGCATTATTTGCAGATTTTATATGAGTCTTATAAACTTAGCGTTGCCATTGTTTATAGACTTATGCGTATGTTTTCAAAATAATTCTATAAACTATATTATTAGTAACTGAATTTTGTTTAAAAGTGAATTTTATAAACTTTATAAATATACCCATTAGGGACTTGCGTTCAATGATGGTTTGGATTCATTTTCACCACTAATGCGCGCCATTTTCCCATCAATAGTGTCCAAATTACCGCTAGATCAAATTAAATTAATGTTCAATGTAAAAGTAGAAGAAATACTATTTACTGGCGTACAGTTAGATCTGTACAAAAAACTAATATCATTATCTGGTGGTTTAATTACAAGTGATCGATACAGTATTTATGATGTAAGAAATTAAGTTATTTAAACTTGAATATTATGTAATATTAATTATAAAATTCTAAATGTTTAGGGTAAAACATTATTGGAGTCCGAATGGACAATAAACAATGGTAAATATAGCGCAAACGACATTGGGCAGATTACACACTTTCATGATCAAACGTTCGTTGCCGTTTTGTTAATTTATAATTATTATATCATAATTAAAACATAATATGCAATTGTTTATTGAAATAAATAACATAATAATACAGATACTTGACAAATGTGAATAAGGACGATGAACCGACCACGCAGGTTTGGCTGAACGACACTCACGCCCATCACTGTAATAGATTGAGGAGAACTGACGGACAGATTTTCAAACCTAAATTTGAAAAAGAAGACACTATTTATACGTTTGAACCGCAACTTTGCAGGTATTAGTAGAATATTAATAAATGGGCATCAATTCAAACTTTTAACATTTTATCTATAAACAAAATGATAATTGTGGTTTTAATCATTCAATAACTCTTAATTTATGTTTTGAGTAATACCCTAATTAAATATGTTTACAGTTATTAATTTAAAACCAGAAATGATATCCAAAATCTTGGTATTTTTTACAATATATATTAACATTAATATGAGATTGCAATTCTAATAATGGGCTAACTAAAGCTTTATATGAGTTTAAAAAACTAAACATAGTACAAACATTATTGCTATAGTAATCAAGGCTAAAATCTAATTAAAATCTTTCAGATATGTATTCTATCGTCACTGGAAGGAGAGTGTCGTGAAAGGCATCGACACCTATAGGTTTCGAGTGCCGCCCGAATACTTTCACAGTCCGCTCGTTAACAGCGATAACGCGTGTTATTGTAACCGAAATATAACGCTATGCGACCGAAATGGTGTGTTAGATATTTCTCACTGTCAATACCAAACACTCGGCGCACCCCTTATAATGTCTAATCCCTATTGGAATAATGGCGATCGCAGTCTTCGCAAACAGTTTAAGTCAGAGCTAATGGCGCGCAACGAATTGAATGATGAGAATTATGGCACTTATCTCGATATTGAACCGGTATTTTATATGAATAGCTAACACCTAAAAGATGTTACAGAATTTTGTGTTATGTTCATTCTATATAATGAAACGCTATGCTGAGATTATTACAATATAAAGTTTACTTAAATATAGTTTTACGATTTAATAATGCAATTTGATTTATTATTAACAATGCAATACATCGCGTAGTGTTATAGTATAAGCATAATACTAAAATTGGACATCTTTGACATCTTAAATATGGAGTGACCGGGAGGTCAGACTATGGCAGACATGGCTAGTGTCCGCCTAACCCCCCCCCGTCAGTGTATAAATTGTTCGGAACTACTCAACACTGGAAACCATTTAACAATAACAATTAACTTTATTTATAAGGCTGAGGGCCTTAGCCCTCAGCTAACTATACAATTCAGACTTTAACTATAGTCTGTGATGTCTATCTATACTCTGTTAATATTTTACATTAAGCACTGCTCTTATATAGCAGGCATATGAGCTCAAGTATACAATATTTAAACTGATAATTAATATACAGAAAGTCATACATTAGGTATCGACTAATACACTAAATAATACATGTTTACGATTACAAATAATACTGAATATACATGTTTATGACTATAAATCTATACTGAATGACTTTTTACTGATGAGTCTACAAGCTTATGGACATAAGATTCAGTCCAAATATAACATAAGTCACACAGTATAAGAAATATAAATATCTATAATGTTTATTCTATTTCAGATAACAGGAAACACTTTACAAATGCATAAAAGAATGCAAATAAATATTAGATTGAGTGGAAGAGATGAAAAAGAGTTCAAATTATATGATCAGTAAGTTATATTAAAATAATGTTGGTGAAGCACCTTCATAAATTACCCTCAATTCAGTAGAAATTCTCAGAAAATAATCAAAAATTTATATTGACCAAAATGATAAATTATAAGAATTATGCAGAATTGAGGTTAACAATGATATGCGATTATGTTGTATACAATGTTTAATATTGTAGAGTTAACAATCAGTAAATTTAATATAATCAATAGATTTAGTTTTAAGTGAATTTTAGTAAAGTGTTAAAAAATTAATTTATAGTATTTGCACACTAAATGCAAATATGAAACATAAGTATTCTATGGTCAATGGACTACAAAATACAGGTTTCCAAAGTTCAGTCACCATTGTACTGATGCTCGCATCCAATGGTATTTAGTATACAGTTTATCCTGTAATAGAGATTACAATGACTAGTATTTAAGAAATAGGTTTTGAAGCATTAGCTCCCTTACTCTCACTACTTTTAACTCTACACTTCTCTCCACTCTTCTCAAACATTTCTATTATTATTATGTATTTTATATTGTATTTACTATTATATTTTATTTAATAAAACCCTTTTAATATGTAATTCAAAATTGTTTTTATTTAATTCTCTCTCTCTCTCTCTCTCTCTCTCTCTCTCTCTCTCTCTCTGATATGTGTATATTTCAATCTATCACTAAAGTATTGTATTATGTTTTCATTCTTATCTTTATGTACTAACTCTAGTCTTCAAATGGAAATAACTGCTATCCTATAGTCGGCACTTTTGCCAGCAGTCTCTCTCTCTCTCTCCTTCTTAATGTATATATTTTTATATTCAATTATTTTACAATTAATGGTATTCAAAAGGTATAAGTATTTAGTTTAAAATATAGCTCTTATGGCATATTATGGACGTATGGATAGCTCAAAAGTAAAGTATTATAATTTAATGCTATTTATTAAGTGATATCAGAAATAAACGTCACAATATAATAATTAACCCTAAAATCCCAAACAGACAATTAGCCAATACAAATAAATCAACTGAATATATTGTTCCCGTCTATTGGCTCGAAGAGGTGCATTAAATTTGAAAATAATTTATGATAACTATCATGAGTTAATATGTAATAAAATAAAAATTAATATTTGTTATATCAATAGTAAATATAATAATTTATAATAAACCAATTATTTGTTTATATTTTATTTATTTTTTTTTTGGCAAAACAGATTACATTAATTTAATAAACAAACAAAGTACGATTTGTTCAAAAGTTCAAAAAGTTCAAGTTCAAAAAATGCCAAGAGTGCACCCGGGAGTTATTATTATTAAAAGAAAGCACATTATGTTAAGAGTTGACTGATATATTTCATATGGCCCAACGACCTCGGGTGTGGCCGTAGTGACCACTTGTATCGGTAAATTTTTGGAAATCAAATCTTTTACTTTATAAATAAACATGTCATATTGTATATCAATGGAAAGGTATCGATGAGTAGAATCGTAATCCGAAAGAATTTTTCAAATCTGACATAATCGACAAAAGTTATATCAAAATTAAGAAATTTAGTATCAGTTATGTACGTTTTTATAGTGAATAACGTAATTACTGAACATCATTTATATCAATTTAAATTATGCTTACAATAATAATTAATTTCGCAAATTAAAAAATATATAAAATCTTTAATATAAAATTTTTGGCATTTTATCAATTAACATTGAACTTTGTCCTTTTAGTAAATGAAATTATGTGATGGAAGGCATTGTGACAATAATCATGGTTAATCTTATTTAATAAATCATTATACAGGGTCCACACCCTATATGGACTTTACATTATAATTGTATAGGCCATACGATTTTACGGAACGACCTAAACTTTTTGTAAAAATATAATACCAAATTTAGTCAAAATTTTATGGGTAGTACTACTCACTCACACCATTAGTTTATTAGAGTTTAAATTAAATTCAGTGACTGTTTAGTCGGCAATCTCTATTTTTCAAACAAATTTTGTAACAATTATCGTTAAAATTATAAAGGTATATCAGACCTATAGACAAATCAACTTGGTTTCTTATAGTCAACTATAAACTAAATATCTACCATAAATTGGTTTTCCTCAGAATTTATTTATACGGAAAATATTTAGATAATTACAATTATCGAAATTCTCTAATTTATCAAAATCACCAATTATATTTAAATTTTAATATAAATCTCGGGCAAGCAGGAATGTAATAAGATTAGTATATAATATTAATCTAAATTGTATGACAAGTCTATTGCAAAAAGAGATTGTTGAAAAACTCGTTCTGGGGCCTGAGTATTTATGGTTTGAAGTAAGGTATATTTACATTGATTTGTGCTGTTTCAGATATAGGGTGTCAACTCTGTAGGAGTAAATAAATGGGTCAATAAGAAAGAAAGAGAATCTCATAATATTACATTGAGTAAATTTCACAACAATTTAACATTACACATTATTAATATAACAATAGTTAACAAATAATTTGTTCTTTGTCAATATAAGTTATTCACAAATAATTGTAGTTTTACAGCCAGCTTTGATTTAATTATTTGTAAATAAATTTTTAACAATTATTGATTTTAATAAATTTAATTAAACAAATGTTGTAAATAATTTTACTACAAATACATAATTTTAAATGAATTTAAGTTTGAATCATTTTATTTCAGCAAAGAGCAAAATTACCAGTGTCGTTTAACGGTAACTTGTTATAACATATTAATGCCTGAATTTTGCTAAATAAACCATTTTGTTTTATCCAATAAGATCTACAATCTTGACAATCAAACTTTGTGTATGTTTTAGCATCAAATATGGCAATATTCTTATCATTTTCTTTTAAAAATGGTAGAAATATGTGCTGGAGCAAATATCGAAACTCACAATCCCCTAGATCGTCACTAAATTCAATTCTTGTTGGTCTGTTCATTCCCACTAATGCACCTGTATCAAAACTATCTTCGTTTAAATAATTATTTTGATTATCTATTAAAATACAAAGCGGAACATCAGTAGTCCTATGTATAAATGAGACCCTGACCAGGCCGAAGGCCAAAGCAAGACCACACACACCATCATTAGATATACCCATTATACTGACCACTGGTCAGATCATTACTACATTAGCTATACCCAATATACATACAGCATACCCTCATTAGATATACCCATTATACTGACCACAAGGCCACACGCACAACAACATAAGATATACCCCATATACTGACCATTGGTCAGCAATTTTTTTGTGACCTTGACCATGTAACCTTGACCATGTAACCTTGACCTTGTGACCTTGACCATGTGACCTTGACCCTGTGACCTTGGCCTTAAGACCTTGACATGTGACCTTGACCATGTGACCTTGACCATGTGACCTTGACCTTGTGACCTTGACCATGTGACCTTGACCTTGTGACCTTGACCTTGACATGTGGCCTTGAAGTTGCGGTCTAGATCATGTGACCTTGACTTTGCGACCTTGACATAGGCCTTGTACTCGTGCAAACTATTGCGCTACGGGTATTTCAAACTATTGCATTATTATTTAATTGTGTAAAAATGTATTGCACTTGACCTTGTCCTTCGATGAGATGTGATAAGATAAAGCATTCGACCAATAGCAATTAAACCATAGTGCAATATCCATAACGCAATAGTTTGAGCACAACACAGCGCATGTGCTAAGCGGACTGCGCAGACTCTAGTCTTGCTTAACGCGTGTATAAAACGCTGTGCTAACCAATACTTTACATTATCTAACTAAATGCTGTTAGAATTTATGCCCGACTAACTAAATGCTGTTAGACTTTATGCCCAAATAAGTAAATGCTGTTTGAATTTATGCCCAAATAACTAGTTAACGTTATATTAGTTTGTGCTTCAGTTAAAATAATTAATTAATTAATTATTTTAATAATTATTTAATTTTTAAAATATAAATTTGTGCTTCTGTTAAAATAATTAATTAATTAATTAATTATTTAATTAATTATTTAATTTGTGAGTTATTTTGTTGTGCCTAAGTTTAAATAAATAATAAAACAAATAATATATAATATTTTTTCTTCAGCAACTGTTTGCGACATCAAGCATGTAAGTAATTTATATTTTTAACTTATAAAATAAATATTTAACAAATTAAATAATTAATTAATTAAATAATTAAATAATTAAATAATTAAATAATTAAATAATTAAATATATAAATAATTTGAAACAAATGTCGCCTAGAATCTCTAATATTAAATAATTATATACATTTTAGATTAATTATTTATTACTAGAGTTTATAAAAGACAGGAAATTAATGTATTAAATAAATAATTAATTAATTATTTAGTTTAGCTTAAATGGAAAGGACTGACGAACTCCGTGCTAGTGATGGAATCATTGCCCCTAAAGTGTCCGGCTATGGATGCACTTCTTTGGGCTTCTACGAGCTAATGAAAGAAAAAATGAAGAAAAAACTGGCTGAAACACGTGAGGATATATTGAATCTAATATTAATTATTAGTATTATGTAAATTAAATTACTTTCTTTGTATAACAGAAAAATATCTAAAAAATCC